GTAGGTGCTTTAGACCATTGAGCCATCTCTCCAGCCCCATAGGACTTAAGTCTTTGAAAGAAAATATGTGTGCTTTTCTGGATTTACAAAGAGCAGGCAGAGGACTCGCACTTCTGTTTTGCTTGGGAGGGGTGTTGAACAGGCCCCACCCAGAGCTGCAGGCTTACTGGCTCTCACACCTCAACCGGAGACTTGGCTGCACACACTATCAAAGGTTCTGGGTTAGTGAGGCCACTCTACCAGATGACACCAGAGCAATACCTGAAAAAGAAGACTGACCATGATCATCTGTGGATATTTTAAAATATATGGGGGGAAATAAGTAAAAATATTTACCAATTACCTAGAAACAACTTTTCTTTCCAAGCCTCAGGATGTATGTTCTTGGCCCACCGGTATGCTTACCTTCAACGAGTTACAGCCATGAATTGTTGGCTCAGGTTGATGTGAAGTTCTCATGTGCTTTACATTAACTTCTTTAAAAATTTAACCTGGGGGGCCAGGGAGGCAGCTCAGCAGCATAAGCACCTGCCTGGCAAGCCCACAGTCCTGAGTTCGATCCCCAGTACCGCCAAAAGAAAAAGAAAAAAATTAACTTGCTACTTACTAGAACAAGTAGGTTGGGGCTGGTGAGATGGCTCAGTGGTCTAAAGCACCTACTTAGAACAAGCTTGGCAAAAAAAGCACAGGGACCGCGGTTCAATCCCCAGCACCACATGCCAGCCAGCCCCGCCCCCTGGTGGACTGAACTGGCCCCACACACACACACACACACACAAATAAATAAAAATTTAAAAAAATACTAGAACAAGTAAGTTGACAAGAATGAGGTAACTGTGTGGTCCAAGCATGAGCTTAGGTTTGAATGCAGCTTTCTAATTTTTCTTTCTTTTTTTTGTGGAACCAGGGATTGAACTCCGGCTCTTGCGCTTGCCAGGGAAGCATTTATTCTACTGAGCTATCTCCCCGGCCCCCAGCTTTCTAATTTCTAATCCATACTTTCCTCATCTATGTTATTTCATCAAAAAGCTTCACCCTTTTGGCTCTTCAGGAGTTCATAATGGCACAAAATTTGGGTCTTGCCCCCTCCTAAAGAGATGGAATTAACTTTTGAAAGGGGTGATGTTTGATGCAGGCAAGAGAAAGAGAACAGAGAGGAGGGAGAACTGCATGACTTAATCTAGTTCCTCCCTTTGCCCTGTAGAACAGAGCGGAGATCAGAGGCCAGGCACTTTCTCTTTCACTGGACTGGGAAGAGACAGTTGTTAGAAGCTGCATGAGGTGTTGGTTTTGTTTTACAAATGTGATCTTTTAATCAAGAGGCTCTTATTCTTTGGAGAGATACTGTTTCCTGGGGGCCACCACCCTTTCCCCCTTGAAAACCATGAGTTTTAATTCTCTAAGTCCAAAGCAAAAAGTTTTCTATGCCAAGACCAGTATCTGTCTGGGAACCAGTGGGGGAGAGCACCAGGCATGACTGAAGAGAAAAGTTCTTATTTTTAAAAAGAAACTCCAAGAAAAGGGAACTTTGTTGTTTCAGATGTTTGTTATTGATCTGAATAATGAAAAAAGATAAGCTTATGTTTTCTTCAGTACTTAGGGCTGTCCTGGCACCAGCTTTTGGTTTGTTAGGCAAGCGTCCTAGTCCCTGTGGCCAAATGTGGAATAAGTCAAGGGGGCTTTGCCCTCCTTGCCCACCAATTAGGACTGAGGAATTCAGCAGGAGAGTCCATGACTGCTCACGTTACGTAGTGACACCCAGCACCCTTAGCTCCCGCAAACCCCAAAGGTGCATGTGTAGTCTCTCCTCAGTACTGGCATGAAGTCTACTGCCTGATGAAGCTCAGAGAAAAGACCCAGGAGGCTTTCTTGACTACTACCCAGTTCCTCTTAAGGATTAGTACTGTTAAAGGTTCACACAAAATTTATATTGTTCTTCAGTGCTGTAAGATTTAGCAAATACCTGAAGCATGTTTCCTTTTGTTTTCTCAAAATTGCCTTGAAATTTCTTTTAACTGTTGGGTTACTCAAAAAAAAGCAGCTTTCTTTAGGGCTTCTATTTCTTAAAGGCATTTTTTCTGTTCCTGTCCCCAAAGGTCTGGTGGGGATCAACCCTTCCTGTACCCTCATCCACCTTTATTATCTCTGTTGGTTGTGTGCCTGGCACAAACCTGTCCGCATTGGGGCCACCCAGCTCCACTCACTTGAGGATCACCTCAAGGGTCCCATCAATAACTGAGCAGAAAAGAGCTGGACTTTGGAAGTGAACCAGACTTGGATCCTAGCTTCTTCCCTTACTGCATGTGTAGCGTTAGGCAGGTATTATGTCTTATCTGAAAAACAGGGAGACCTATTTCAGCAGGTAACTTTGAGAATTAAAATTCACAAATACTTATGTAAAACCCACATATCCTCCCAACATACTACTTTCTTTCCATCCAAAAGGGTTAACAGATAAGCAATTGACCCCTACTGCCCATAGCAGATGGTTCATTCATCTTTTCCAGAGATGCTCCAGATATAAATTAAGTATGCTTAGTTCAGGACGAGGACACTCGACCCATAATCTTAACTTTCAAATATCAACTTGCCAATCTTTAGTCAAACTCATATTTAGCTTTTCATATAAACATGAAACAAAAGTTTCAGAGTGTGCACGTATAATTCATTATTGCGTATTATAATGGAGAATGGGGGCGGGGTGTGATTTAGGAGGTATTTACATTTCTTATGGCTTCTATCTGTACAGCTATGCAGTCTCTTGGAAGAAAAACATTAGGAACCTACAGCATGTGTAACCTTTCTGAGTTATATCAAATTAGAAGCTGACCCTAATTTAAAGTCCCTGCTTCTTACTAGGGTTCACACATTTTTTTTCCCTTTAGGCATTAAGCACTGTAACCTAAGATGGAAGAAAGAGATCTACACCTTCCCCAAAGAAAAGGAAGATGGATCTAGTGTCAGGCTCAATTAGACCCAATTGTGGTGGCTCTCCAAAAAGGAACAATGCAGCTTTTGTGATACGCTCACACTGAAAACTTGGACATTTTACAAAACAATCTTACCCCAAGAGAAACCTGCATTCTAATGCTCTTCCTGGAAAGAGCAATTGATCCAGATAAGTTTTATATTACTTTATCAGCTCTTGCAGATATAGATTTTTTTTTTTTTTTTTTTTTGGTTAAAAAGGAAAAATCATGATGTCTAAAACAAGACAGAACTGTGCAAAACCAAGAACATAAATTTCTGTACTGTTACAGAGTTTCTATACTGAGGTTTCTACAACCATGGGGTGTTAGTTATTGTCTATTAATGGGGACTCTGGGAGAATCGTTGGGTTTTTTTCTTCCCTGAATTCAGTCTAAGAACTCTCAACAGACTGGCTGGAGTGGCCAGCCTCTTTGGAAGTGCTTAAAATGCAAATGTACAAGAACTGGCCAGCCTCCCCAGCCCCCAGGAAAATACTTCAGTACAGCCAGGACTGGAGGGGAATTTTAAAAAGAGGGGCAGAACCGCTCCATTTCCACTGGGACCCTCATACTGCGAGGTTCAGTATGCATGACTGAGTTAGCCAGCTAGCAAGGACAGCACTCTTTTAACTTCTCTGAACAATGACTTCAGTTCCTTCCACCCTTCACCTCCTTCCCACACTCCTCTAGGCTAGACACCAGTCCCTCTCACCCACTTCTGTATCTCATGACCCATTTTTCTCAGTATTACCCCTAGATCTCATTTCCACCCAAAGAAAAACTAGCCACTCGGGGGAAATTGTGACTCTTACAAGTCTGGTTTTTAAAAAAGTTTCATTTTGTTCAGTTTCTTTAAATTTCCATGTTGACAGTTTAAAACCAAAAATTATATAAATCTCCAGTCCAGTCACATTTCTAGAAACAGAACATTAGGGCGTCAGTAGTAAACCTTACACAGAAGAAATATTTAACTATGAGCTTACACCACACAGGATGCACCGAACTCTACCTTATTTCCTTTACTGCAGAGTGTACAAACAGCACTCCTACTTTGGCAAGTACCCAAACACAGAATGCCTTAAAAATAATTCACAGATACAAGGTTTTTGTGCTTTTTTTTTTCAAAAACATACTTCATATTTCCTCTTTTATTATATAAATATCAGTTTAACCTTTTACTGTAAGAATATAAACGTTTTAAGAGGATCTTTGTTATTATTTATACAAATTCACAAACAGTACAATTAATTGATAAAGGTCTCTGGGTTTAACTCCATGGTCTCGCATGTTGCTGTGGAGGATTCTAAAAAATAAACAAAATCCAACAAAAATATACATCCTACTCAAAAGCGATTCTTTTAAAGCCATGAGTCCCTACCCGACCAAAATAAAGTCATCTATTCCTCCATTTAGAAACAGAAATTTTTAAAACCCACAAACTCCCATTTTATTAACAGAATACAGATAAGCCATGAACTTCAGTCTCTTCCCCTTCACAGTACAGCCCCAGGTCTGCAGGCCAACTCTGCTCTGTGCTTCCAACAGGAAGCCTAACTGTGACCTTTTTGTTGGGGAACTTAGAAGGTGAGGATAGGGCATAATTTGCATATATAATAATAATCTTCAAGACACAATCTTTTATCTCTAACAAAAAAGCAGTACAACTTTCATTTCTCCATATTTGTGCTATAAATTAGGCCAAGATTGAAAAACATGGTTGGGTCTCCTAATCCCAAAGGATAAGGAGAAAAACAAAATTATAACCAGAATGTGGAAAGTGGGACACACTGGGTGGATGGAGGTTGGGAAGAATCCAAAAAAAGGGGGCTGGGGGGTTGCATACGAACCTAATGGGCATCTTTCCAGTCTAGGCACAAAAATGTTTCAGTCTTAAAATATCTCTCTTGTAGAATTCCAGGGCTTCAGAGAAAAAAGTAAACTAAAACGAGGTAGCCAGACACATATATATCTATATATATATCTATATATAATATATATAATTTATATATAGAATATATAGAATATATTCAGCAGAAAAAAAAAGGACCATGACTCCAATTTCGTTAAAAAAAAAAAGTAGATAAAAATGAAATGAGCATGACTTGCAGAGTACTGTAAAGGGACAAGTGATGCGGAGAGACTGGGATTAGTTACAGAGTGAAAGAAGGGTGAAAAGGCGGTTGTACTTGGGGTTTTCTTTTTTTATACATTTTGAAATAAAAACCAGATCACAGTATCCAAATGAAATCTTAAGTGAAGGCAGACATTTTCCTCAGCTCCTCAGGGTTGAAAGGACTAATCATCCCCACCCCAATTCCCAATTCGAGGCCGGCAGTGGGGACACGGTGGGCCAGGGGCTCAATCAGTCCTCATCCCCCTGCAGAGGAACGGGTGGGTGAGCATCAGAGTCCATGTTTCCATCAGCAGGGAAAGGGAGAGGGGAGCGGAACAGAGTGGCAGAGAAACCCCAGGGTGGTGGGCAGGGGTGCTGGCAGAGGAGAAAAGGAGCCTGGACTTCCTGTCACTGCCCCGTCTCAGCCACCGCATGAGCTATGTATGAGTGTATGGGGAGGTGGTGGTGAAGGGGGATGAACAGGCGGGACCAGGTGCTGCCATCCTCACCTGACCTTCTCACTGTCCGTCATCTGCCAGAGTCCCAGGTTGAGTACCTTGAGGCAGGGCAGCTGCGTGATGCGCTCCAGGCCGCGCTTGGTGATGCGGGTGCAGCCGTACAGGTCTATGCCAGTGAGCTGGCTTAGGTGCTCAGCGATCAGCTCCAGGCCCTTGTCCGTGATGCGCACACACTGTCCAATGTTGAGCGTGCGAAGCCCGTGCATTTGCCGCACCATGCGGTTGATGCCATCATCACTGATGTGGCAGGAGCAGAGGGAAAGGGACTTGAGGCCGTCCAACCCCTGGGCTATGTAAGCCAGGCTCTGGTCCCCCACCTTGTCACAAAACGACACATCCAGCCCCGAGAGGCGCAGGCTGCCCATGGCCAGGTGCATGATGCCTGTGTCACTGATGTTGTCGCAGGAGCGCAGGTTAAGGCTTCGAAGACTGCCCATGTGCGACAGGTGCAGGAGGCCTGCGTCTGAGATGCCCCCGCAGAAGCTGAGATTGAGGAGCCGCAGGCCCGTCAGACCCCGGGAGATGTGCTTTAGGGAAAGATCCGTGAGCTTCTGGCAGTCCTGTAGCGTGAGCTGCTCCAGGCCCAGGCAGCCCTCGGCCGCGCTGCGTGTCATGCCGGCCAGGTGACCGATGCCCACGTCTGAAAGGTGGCGGCAGCTGCGGAGGTTAAGGCTCTTGAGGCGCTGCAGTCCCCAGGCGATGAGCAAGAGGCCGGTGTTGGTGATGTTGCTGCAGCCCCCCAGTTCCAGCACCTCCAGACCCTTGAGGTACTGAGCAATACGGCCGAGGCTACTGTCGGTGATCTGCTTGCAGAGGCTCAGGTTGAGGGCGCGCAAGGAGCCAATCTCCTGTACAAACGCGTGGCCTAGCCCGTTATCGGTGAGGTTGTAGCAGCCGCTGAGGTTGAGGCTCTCGATGTTGGCCATGCCCTGGATCACGTAGCTAAGGCTGCGGCGGAGGCTCAGGATCTGCACGCGGCGGATGCCCCGGGCCTGCAGGCTGGGGAACAGCGACGGGTTGGCCCGGCGCAGGTGCAGCTTGGCCTCCACCCCCCGCCACACCGACTTGTGGTAGGCGGCATCCCGCCAGGCCGTGCACACCTGCGCTGCGCGCCCCTTGTCCCGCACGTCCAGGTAGCCAAAGATCATGGCCAGCAGCTCGGGAAACAGGCACGAGATGTGGGTCTCCATCTTCCTCCTCCCCCCTCCGCGGCGCTGGGGGGGAGGAGGCGCGGGCCCCGCCGCTTCGGCCCCGCCGAGGCCACGAGCACTGAGCGCCCCGGCCGCCGCCGCCTCGGGCCCAGCGCAGGGCCCCTCCCGCCTTCCGGCCCGGCCGCCGCCGCTCCTCCTCCCGGGCCGCGCGTCCTTCCTTCCTGCCTGCCTTCCTGCGGCTCGCGTCCCGTCCCTGCCCTCCCCCGCCTCGGGCTCGCTCGGTCCTCACATCCCGGGCGGGGAGGGCGCCGCTCGCTCGTCCCGAGCCCGGCCGCCGGCGCTACCCGGCTCTACCCGCGCAGCCCTCCAGGCCGCCGCCGCTCCCACGCCCCCTGCCGCATCCTCCACCTCCGGATGCGCCGCTGCTGCGCGGGCCGGCGTGGGGCCCGGGGCCGGGCGCCGAGGAGGCTTCCTGCTGCCTTTGTCTCTCGCCCGCTTTTCAAACCTCCCAGCCCCGGGCCGCCCGCACTCCGCCGTCCAGGCGGGGGGACCAGGAGGCCAATCCGGGCCCCGGGGCGCGCGTTGCTTCTCCCGCGCCGTCCGCAGCGGTTGGGGGCTGCCGGCCCACTACTGAGGACGCCGCGCTGCCGGCGGCCGGAACAGGGCTCGGCGCGGACCCCGGGGCGAGCAGGCGAGCCGCGCGCTTGGTAGAGTCCGGCCCGGACGCGGCGGCCCGACAGACGCTCCGCGCGGCCCTCCTCCCTCCTGGCTCCCCCCGCGCGCGCTCGCGCAATGGTACGGGCCTGCGCTGCCGGAACTGTCGGAGCCGTTGCCCTGGAAACCGAGTTCTTCCTAGTCCGGTCGACCCTGAGGGTTAACCCTGTCGGCGCCGTGGGAAAGCAGCTGTCAGCCATGCGCCTCCCAACTCTGCTTTTCTGAATCCGTAGCCCGTTATGGACTTTCCCTCTTCTGGGCCACGCCCCGACGCTATTCCCGGCTTTGCTGCTGACGTCTGCACAGCCACTTCCCATAGTTATCCTCGATTCTTGACCCTTGACATCCTTCTCTCTTAATTTTCCTTGCAAGACCCTCCTCCCAGCAGCAACACTCAGTAGTCATCACCCCAACTCTGTGTTCTGTCCCTGAAGTTCCTTAACTCGTCTCTGTTATCACAGCCCTAGTCTCTCCAGCAAGAATTTTTTTTTTCGTTTGTTTCTTTTTCTCCGACCATGTACTTCATATTGGGAGAGAAACTGTTTTATTCAGCTGAGTTTAACACTGACCCTCTCAGATCTTCGTTCTAGAATTTTCAGTAGTTGTCTGTTACTGCTTCCCTATAGCATCTTCTGGTTGTTTCCAGACACTGCTGTATTTCTCTAAGTACTTGATGCACCAAAACTTCCCTCCACTTCCGCATTTTGCTGCCACCCGACGCCCTCAGCGGGCTTTGCCGCTGAACGGGGACGCCTTTCCCTGAACCTTGTCTTATCTTGTTCCTTCTCATCAGCGTCTTAAACTATAAATTGCGTGGCCCAAATCATACTGGTAGTACGTATATGTGTAAGTGCTGACACAAATTATTTTTTAAAAAAAAAGTAAAAAAGAACAGCTATTTGATCTGGTTGAAAATGCTCTCCGGCAGATGTCTGATGGTTTATGAACTGTGATTTATGGAAGCAGGGCGATCCTGCATTGTAGAATGTCCCCCGGGGGTCCTTAATGCCCACCATGAGGATAGAATTCCAAAAATTCATTTTAATTATCCCCAAACCAAGAATTTTTGAGCCAGATAAAATGACTTTATATACTTTTAATTCGTTTATAACAGATACAAAAAAAAACCAATCTGATTTATGTATCAGGAAACAAAATGTTACTGATTTGGGGAAAACCTGAACAAGATTTTAAATGGGTCCTATATTCAGCATATTCAACTTTTTGTGGAACTGGGGATTGAACTCAGGCCCTTGCACTTTCCAGGCAGGCGCTTATTCTACTGAGCCGTCTCCCTGGCCCCTGATTTGGTTGACTTTTGGCCACTTCCCTTTTACCCAAATGACCAATACTTAGAGTATAAATAGGTTTACTAATAGACATAAAACATGTTTTATAGCCACAACCACTCCTACTTCCTAAATCAGAAAATGCAGAGGCAAAAATCCTACAAGTTTGTTATGCTATCTACTTTACACATGGTTGTGAGGTTCATAGTTTTTTTTTTTTTTTTTTTTTTTTAATGTGTTTGGTATAAGGGTCTCACTACACAGCTCTTGTTTGCAGCCTCCCCAGCGCTGGGATTACAGGCATATGCCACCAACCCTGGTCTAGGTTCATAGATTTTTATAACCTTCTGAAATGATAGATTATACAGTTAGTTACCAGATAATTTCACATGTACAGTGACAGCGTCACAATTTGGGGGGATACCTGGGCTCACACACTTGTCTTGGAATGTAGCTAGCTTTCTATTCTTCTGAATCACTTCTTAAATTTTTACCTTAAACACTATATGAAAGCCCCCCAAGGGTGTTATGTGGGTGTACATGGACTTGCACTGATGTGACGATCTCAATCCACAGCATCTCTGGTACCTTACCTTACAAGGGGGCAGGTGTTGCAGACCCTGCCCTGATGTATAAAGGAGGGGCTTTGTGATTTTCCTTCTCTAGAAAGGCTGTTGTTCTCTGAAAAGTCATTCAGAGGTCCCTGAAAGCAGCTTTCTCCAGAAATTGATCACCTAGTCCTACTTCCAACAAAACAAATTTTTTGAGTTGAATGCTATAGAGTTTTATTCATATACAACCCTTTACTTAAGGCAGTCAAATACAAATTATCAGAAGCTTCAGCAATATGATTATTTTCACATTAATAAGTAGAAAAAAATATAGCATCAAGAGACATCTCTGGGCCTGCCAAATAGCTCAGTGGATTAAAGTGCCTGCAAGCAGGCGCAGGGGCTAGAGGTTCAATCCCTGGGCCTGCTGTGCTGGCTCCACCCCCAGGGTGTTCTGAGGTGGCAATTGAGACTGGTGTGGTGGGGCACGCCTGTAATCCCAGCTCTTGGGAGGCTATAAATAGGAGGATCACTGAGTCCGATCTAGTAGTGAGACCCTGAACACTCTGTAGACCCTTCCCTAAGAGAGAGAGAGAGAGAGAGAGAGAGAGAGAGAGAGAGAGAGAGAGAGAGAATCTCAAACTGTAACAGTGGAGAAAAAGAAGTATGTCACTGAGGGCCTGGGGAGATGGCTCAGTACAATTAGCGCTTGCCAAGGGCCTGAGTTCAATCCCTGGTTCTGCAAAAAAAAAAAAAAAAAGGCCAAGAAAAAGTCATTGAGCCTAGGTTGGTCACTTGGGGATTTATTTTGGCGTTGGGACAATGATGCTCCTTTCTGGGCCTTGGTTTCCTCCTTTACACTTCAGTGCTTTGCACTAGATGATCTTCAGAGACCTCCAGACCCAGTGCGGCCGTTGCCGAGACCCTGTCCTGCTGCCTCCCTCCCTGCAGGTCATGTACTCACTCCTTCCAGTACAAGCTGCAGGTTAAGACTGTCTTCAGCGGCTTCTTAGGGCTTCTGTTTAATGTTCGTATTTGTGGCACAGATACTTGGAGGATATATGTGGACAAGCGGTGCTGATGGTCTGGGAAAGATGTGTACTGAAGTAGCAAATCCTGTGGGGAGTGTTTATCTTTTCAAATCAAATTGAGACTTGCTTACGATTCAGCAAGTTGCAGGCACAAATTTTATTTCTGTATGTATTACAAAGACCTGTTAGCGTGCTGGGCATAGTGGCATATGCCTGTAATCCCAGCACTTTGGAGGCTGAGGCAGGATTTCAAGTTTGAATCCTGCTGGACAATTTAGCAAGACCCTGTCTCAAAATAAAAACTAAAAACCAATGGGGCACTATAGGTCAGTGTGAAAGTCTTGGGACCAATTCCTACGAGTATCTGTGTCTGTGTCTCTGTCTTGTCTGTCTCTCTCTCTCTCTCTCTCTGTCTCTCTCTCTCTCTCTGTCTCTCTCTCTCACACACACACACACACACGCACATTTTTTTTAAAAAAAATCTTTTTGATACAGGGTTTTGCAATGCAGTTCAGGCTGCCCTTCAACTCACTTTATAGCTCAGGCTGGCCTCGAACTCACAGTGTTCTCCTGTCTCAGCCTCCTGAGCATAGCCTCTGGATCCTCTTGCCTTATCTTCCTGGGATTACAGGTGTGTGCTGTGCCGTCACGCCTGGCTATAGAAATTCTATTAGTGAGTTTTTCCCTTGGAGGGGGCCTGGGAAAATTAAAAGAGTCTTCTTAAAGATGTATACTTCATTTTTCAGGGAGGGAAAATCCGGCAGGGAAGATCAGAAAATCAGAAAAGATTTGAAATTTTATTCCTCATTGAAATATTAATACATATATGCAGCATATATTAGAATTTATTGAAGAATTCTAGGTAACTGATACTCACAATGGCCTTTTGAGAATTATAAAATGCTGCCTTCCCAGCTCTGATTTCTTGGGAGCAGTATTCTCTCTGTTCCTAGTTCTAAGTAGGACAGGGTCTTGGGACATCTCTTAGGGCGTATTAAATTAAGAGGGGGCTGGATGTGGTGGCCCACACTTACAGTGTTCTTCCCGTCTACTTGGGAGGCTGAAGCAGGAAGTTCATAAATTTGGCCAGGCTGGGCAACTCAGCAAGCCTTTATTTTAGACTAAAATAAAAAAAGACTAGGCATACAACTCACTCTAGAGCATGTACAAGGACCTGGGTTCTATCCCTAGTACTAGGAGAAAAATAATAAAATGTATATAAACAATATTACTCAAAAAGGAAAGGAGTAGGACTGCAACTTGGGAGCCTGAGGCAGGACAGTTACCTCCAGTTTGGGGCCAGCCTGAGCTACGTAGTGAGCCGGGCTGAAGTACGTGGTGAGACCGCGGCTGTCTGGAATTGCGTCTCAGCCAAGGCAAGCTGGCTACCGCAGCTCCTGAGGCAGCGCTGAAAGCTAAGGCCACAGCACACCCGGGGCTGAGGCGGCCTGTGCATCCTGCTCTCCCGTGAGAGGTCCTGGACCACGACAGAGGGGCTTCAGTTTCCTTATATATGAAACAAAGTCCTTTCTGTTTCCAGAACTGTTG